TTTTTTCCGTTTTTGCTTCACAACTGAAATGTCAAATTCAAAGTGCATACAGATCTCACGCAACATTGAAATAGAGAACTTAGATAAATTGGAAGCTCTGGCCATTTCACAGATGTTATAACTGTCGTAAATGATTGGATGTTTCACTAAAATCTCATCGAACACTTCCTCTCGCATTTGTTCAAGCTGGTTTTCATCTATTTCTGGTAAAACATCTTCCAGATCATCGTCGTCAATAGTGCTTACAGGAGCATCATGAAGGGTTTTCTTGGAAGACAATCGAGAAAAAAATCCTGTGATCTGTTTGGATGTCAGATAATCATCCGATTGGAAAAGGAAAGTACCATCAGTATTGCGGGCTTTTCGCATTGCTTTGGATACGTTGTCTGGATCAGCCTTTCTTCCAGTTTGTTCTCCAAGAATAAAGAGATCTGTAAGATATTTCTTTTGCTGATCTGTAAATCGGCGTCGTCCAGTGGCCCCTCCTTTCAAAGCCCAACCCATAGGAGACAAAACTTCTGCCACCTGCGCTAGTTTACCTGTCAGATTCGAGGCGCCTTCCCCCTCTACAGCTGACTCGCCGGTTTCAAGGTTCTCAGCATACTTTAACATAGCCTTGTCGAGGAATGATTCTCTCTCTAGTGAATATTGGTGTTTACCAAAGTCTAGATGGCGTTCGAGGTATGAATACTTTTGATACGCTTTGATGCACCCTTCTTCTGGGCATGTGAACAAGGCTTCATAGTCCGTGTCATCGTCGTCAGCATCGGTAGCTTGTGTCACAATTCGTTGACCTTTTACTTTGTTGTTCCGTCTAGGTTTGACACCAACGAAGGCAGGGGAAGGTACAGCATCTTCAATCTTTGACAGTGTTGGCAATTTGGTTGAATCTGGCAGATCAAGATCACTATATGCAATTGACTTCCCCTTTCCAACATTGTATGCTCTCCATACCATCATTTCCTCATTTTTGAAAACAATGTCATTTATGGCACTGACGCCTTCCCATTTCGGAAATGAATCCAGATGTGAAGCTTGAAGAGATTCACAATGCACCACGCTAACACCTTGTACTCCACCATTTGCAACTATGGCAGTTTTCATCTGTGCTGCATTGGATATGTCGTAGCCGGAGTTTAGATACGACCGCATATGGTTCTTGATGTTTGCTGCTTTGCGGTCACATGGGCCTTTACCGCCTTGGGGGTCGGAGAAATCCATCCTTACCGCCACGTTATGTTTTACGGCCAGTTGCCGAACACCAAGAATTGTGAGTGAGCTGTGATAACACCCAGCGTTATCTTGTCTGAGGTTAACACAGCTCAAATCGGGCATAGCGCATTTCAGTTGGTGGATGACGTCATCTATTATAGCTAGCACATAATAGCTGTCTTGATTGCTCTTTTCGAAAAGATGTACCAGCGTCAGCATCTCCAGACTTTTGCTTTGTGACTGACGAATAGCGACACTGATGTGCCAGGAAAGCCCTCGTTTTCCGAACCAGTCGGCTTGGCTTTCTCGGAACTTTCGTGGTACAAACTTCATCGCCCAATCAAGGACCACAAGCACAGAGTTGTTGTCTAAACTTTTCATAATGTCTAGACGACCTTCGTCTTGGTTGACAGAGCGCAATAAATGCGCTTTCCACGCATCTACGTTTTTCTTTGATTGCGCAATAATAAATACCATCTCCTCTGATTCTTCGTGCGAGAGATTGGCCTTATCGATAACTGCTTCTATTTCTTTAACTGCATGGGGGAACAAATCACAGCGATCACAATATTGATCATGTTGGTGATCACAAGAGCTCAAGTGATCAGGTTCTTTAGCGTAACTAAGGGCGAACGGCCTACAATGGTCTGGTACGCTTGAGCTAGCTGAAACATGAACCTAGAATAACAAAATAAAAACGATGATGATGATGATAGCTTATAATAGCAAAATGTACTTTTGTTTCTACCACTTTTGTAGTTTTGCTTCGATTGTGCGACAAGATAATTTTGTGGTTTGACGATGATTACAGACTATTGGCTTGCTTACTCATTCACAGTGAAAATAAGACCACTTTAGTACATCTACCGCTTTAAAGCTATACTATCCATACCTTTTTTTACTGAGTCGTGTCATTTCTTGACTGCTTACCTTATAATCCGCTTTCATGTAACGCTTTGACAATTTGAGTTTTCTTGTGATTTCCTTCGTCCATGCTAAACCACCTTCACAGTAGTCGCCTAGTTTGTCGACAATTTCAATGAGGTCGTCAAATGCCTTTGCACCGTCGGATGTAAAGTAATCTAACCCTTGTAGGGAAGTGCGAGTGGAAGCAGCGCAAACCTTTAATACTCTGTAGATACTACTTCGGCTAAGTGGAGACTGGAACCCAGTGTCTACACAATAACTGTTGTATTGYTTCGCGATGTGACTAGGAATGGTAGACCTTACGACATTTGGAACTGTAATTGAATTTCCAGATGACAGCTTGAGTGTTTTTTCCCCAAATGGCAAATCCTGAATTATTCTTGTGCTAGTTATGAATGCCAGGAAATGGTCTAATCTATCTTGTGACACCCTCGTCCTCGTTTGCTTCTGCTGTGTGACTTCAGCTCCTCTGCCGTGCAGTAGGACGTGTCGTCGGGCAATATTGTAACGATAATGAGAAAGATCAGGAAGCCATTTCTGAAGGGTTGAAAAGCTCACCTTGTAAGCAATTATTGAAAGTATTTGTCTTTGTGAGCTCCAGTGGCTTGCATTACTGTAGCATTCAATCAAAGCTTCTAACAGGGCTGCATTCATGCCATCACTTTCTTTGTGTACTTTTTGTAATTCATTTAGGAGCATTTCGGAACTTTGGGGTGCGATTTCTTCAAGCGTAACTTGGACTACTTGTTTAGCTTTGCGAATATGGAAGCGCTTGGTGCGTTCTGCAGCTTCATCCCATGGTGTTGTCATAACTTTTCTAATTGGGCTGACATCCCTGGATGCGAGGAACAAATTTAGTTTTTCTCTTGGAGACATCTCTTCTTTAGCCTCTTCGAGGTACGACATGTCTGCAGAACACTCTGACAATCCAGAAGSACTAAAGAGGGTTGACAMTGCACTTCCARGAGTCTCTTTTACAATAGTKGACAATTGCTTTGGAGTACTAAATACAACATCTTCGTCCTAATGAAAAAGATGAAACATATTTCAGTTGTTTTATCATAGATAGTATTAGTATYCATGGTTGGCTAGAAATAAGTAGTATTGCTGATTGTTATTATTGGAGTTTTTTTGAAATTTCATACCAATCCAGTTTCTCTTAATTTATCTTGCAGTTCTTCCACAGAAGTCTCTTTGTACACTATTGCATTCATCTTTGTACGACATGTTCTGCAGACACCTAGAATAAAATAATGATATTGATGATGATAATTCAATTGATCGTAATAAGAGACTGCGCAATATTTATCAGGAGGGTGGGTTTGAGTAATGAGCC